ATCGACAAAATTTCCAAGCTGCGAGGAACCGCACATGCATGAGCAACAGCAGGAGATTCCGGTCGAGGAGAACAAGGAGGCAGGCTGCTTGCCTCGTCTGAACCTACCCAGAACTTCGAAACCGCCAGGAACCGCAGGCGATGATGAAGGTTCCATTGGAAGACAAGGACAAGGCAATCTGTCTCGGTACTTTCACTTAGCCAGAGATTTCAAGCTGCCAGGAGCCGCGCCTGGACAGCACGAACAAGGCCGGCAGGGTGCATTGGGTGGGTCGTGCTTTGACTTCGCCAGACACTCCAAGCTGATGGAAACCGGCAATGAGCAGGTCGATCTGCTCTTGGAAGAGGATTCAAAGTTGATCACCGAGCAGGTCCGGTTCTTCATATCTTGAGGGAACCACGACTTTCCGCTGCAGGTGGAGATAACAGACAGGGAGGGTGAACAGGCAAGCTCCCCTGTCGTTCTCTTTACATAGCCATGATTTGCAAGCCAGGAAGCTACCTCATTGCGGAAACGTCAAAAGATTCTTGCAATGGATTCGGATAACAAGGCAGGAGTGAGTCTCGTGTTGATGGACAAGGTTGGGTCTCAACGGAATTGACTTGCGAATCCGCCCCTGAGTGCGATGCTAGGACAACAAGGAAAACTGCCAGCCGAAGAATGAAGAGCAGGAGAAGGCAGCCAGTGCTGAGCGTCGGTATTGCATTCAAGCCACTTGACTTGGCCATGTCTTGCGAGGAAAAACATGAGGGAGAAGCCGAGGCTAGGAAGAGAAAGCTTCCGGAAGAAGATGACAAGCCGAAGGCTGGGGCTTCCACGACCAAGCCAAAGGCCAAGGCCAACCCAAAGGGCAAGGCCAAGGCCAAGGCCGGGGCCAAAGCCAAGGCCAAGGCCAAGGCTGACGCCAAGCCCAAGGCGCAGGCCAAGAAAAAGGATGCTGACGCCAAGCCCAAGGCGCAGGCCAAGAAAAAGGATGCTGAAGCCAAGCCCAAGGCGCAAGCCAAGAAAAAGGATGCTGACGAAAAGCCAACGGATAAGAATACAAACGATAAGGCGGGTGACAAGGCCACGCAGAAGACAGCGAAGAAGGAAAAGACGCCCGAACAAGCGGCGAGGGATCAGCTGCGCTCCAGGAAGGGTACCGCGTACAAGAGGGCCTACAAAGCAGCTCAAAGAGCAGGAGAGAACGAAAACAGCTCCCGCATTGCTGCCCGGAAGGCCAGGCCAGTTTGTTGTTTGTGTATTATTATGCTGTTTCCTTGATCAGCACTGCGCTGCTCGGAGGCTTTCATGTTTGCTGACTGAGCCGACGTATTCTGGGTTTCGCAGCGATAAAATCGCTGCAGGCTGGTAGGTTCTCACAGGGCAGAGTGCATGAGACGCATGAACTGAATAGTACTACACTAGTCGCGTGAACACGGCCATGACATGCCACCTGTCCAGTTGTGAGTTTACTGGGGTACAATGGAGCGAAAACACGTCATTTGGTCAAAAGTCCGCTTCAGGATGCAGCCATGTTCTGCAAAGCATTGACATGTACCTTTTCGCTTCTGTGAATAATCGCTGAGGCCACGAAACACCGACCGGACCTGCTGCAGGAGCAGGAACGGATGCAGAAGACAGTATCCGCCCAGGAGCGATGTGAGCATCTTATAGCTGAGCTGCTCACACTTCTCCTGGGGGGATACTGTGTCTTCTGCATCCCACTGACGCCGTCGGCAGCAAGGACGTCCGGGTGATGAAGACGTCGTCTTCATCAACCAGACGTCCCTGCTCACCTGGCAGGTTTCAGCCGTCCGCCCAGAAGCACTACGAAGAAAAGGCCAGCCGGAGCTGAGCGTGCCCAGTTGAGATTTGGAAGGGGCCGCTTCAGGGCAGAGAAGCTTTGTAGGATTCAGGGCTCACTTGAGTTCACCCTGCTGCCCACTGCCTGATAAGGCCTCAACCACAGGCCGACCGAAACTTGAATATGTTGCTGTGGCGGTTTTCGGTTCAAACGACAGCATCCAGGAATCCGCCACTAAAGACTTCACACGTCAAGCAGCCAATTCTAGAGCAGCCATGAGTGGCACGGAGGAAGGCATGGAAGCCCCTGTGAAGCAGACGGAGGATCTTGAGACGGAGGCATCCTTTCCCACAAGCACGGAGGAAAGCATGGAAATGAATGTGAAGATGATGGAGTCTCTCAAGATCTCAGAGACGGTGACGGAGCTAACCTTTTCCGCAATAGCCGGAGAACTATCAAAGTTCCTACCACAAGAAAAGAGAGAAATCATAGGCCAACTGGAGCTGGTGGTCATGGATTCCATGTGCGTCCATTGCAGTCGGTGTTATTTCCAGATGTACCTGACTCAGAAGGAACTGGTACCGTACGACGCATGCTTTCGCGAGGACCACTGGTGCGCCTGCGATGATCTCCCAGTCCCAGAATTTCGGCGACATAAATTAAATGCTGATGGAAATTCAAAGCACTGAAACCGCGGCTTGGCCCACGGTCTCGCAAGGAGCACAAACGGATTTCGCAAAAGGGTGCGAGCTTCTGATTTCTGTGCGTGGACTGCGTATTGTGCAATTTCTCAAAGCATCCGATGTCTTGCCTGCACAGGAAGCCAAACAAAGAAAGGCGCCGGGCCTGCCGCTCAGAAAGGTGCTGTTGGTCTTTAGGGAGAGAGAGAGAGAGAGAGAGAGAGAGAGAGAGAGAGAGAGAGAGAGAGAGAGAGAGAGAGAGAGAGAGAGAGAGAGAGAGAGAGAGAGAGAGAGAGAGAGAGAGAGAGAGAGTGTGTGTGTGTGTGTGTGTGTGTGCAGTTTGGCCCCCAGGTAGGTGTCTGGCACATTCGGCCATGAGAATCTCTTGGCAGAATGTGCCAGACACCCACTCGTCCGAGCCATTTCGCAGACGTCCGTTGGAAGCCCAGGAACAGCCAGACTGAGGGAATGGAGTGTTGCCTTGCAGCTGCTAGAGTGAAGAGATAGAGGTATACTTGGCCCGTATAGTTAGCCACTGCTTCAAGACATGGGGCGCCTAATATTTAAGGTACCCTAAACGGGACACCAATTTTGACAACCAGCCATACAGTTATACTCCTGTTATGTTTAGGTTTCACACACGACATAACTAATAGCTATTATTATTTTACTATTAAAGTCAGAATCATCTTACTAAATCTTAGTACCTTTCCCTTAGTTCTTTTTGTTTTAGATTCAACGCACGGAACGGAGGCCAAATTTCAGCGTACAGAACGCAAGCAAAATACGAACGAATTAACCCACCATCTTCTGTTTCATTTTGTTTTTTGGTTAAAGTACAAAGGAACAAAGAGTATGCGTTAATGTAATAGACGAAGCAAACGACACACCCAGACAAAAGACATGTTAATGCCGTTCGTAATTCCTTGGAGTAATTTGCCTTCTGCCACCAACCAACAGTAAACTCTCCACCTATTATCCTCTGAGAAAGCAAGTGATGAAGTGAGTAAGTGGTTGATAACGGACAAAAACAGAATCTGAGCTAACGGAGAGAGAGCCGAAGCGAGGTTTTGGTTCTCTTGACTGAGACCACGTGTGAACGGTCAACCTTGGAAACCATTGCTGGTGTAGTTGGTGGGGTGCGTTTACTTTAATTCCCCCGAGCCGTGATTTCATTACGTTCAAATATGTTCAAATGCTTCCATTCCATTCCATGTTGTTCTTGCTTTCTTGTGTCCTTTAATGCAGTAGCTTGTCAATGGATTATTGTATTGTGTAGTGTTTTCGGGTTCACTTATTTTCAATGCAATGAGAGCGAAAGAACGGAGCCGAATGAATGAAGCGAGAAATAAGCGAAACAAAACCACACAACACATTCAACCCTCATTCCTCTTTTGTTTTCTTTTGTGGGCTTTGTTCACTCTTCTCTTCTCTTCGCTTCGTTCATGCTTGTAGGTCTCGAAGCACCACCCAGCATTTCTTAAATCCCGCCTCCCTGTCGTCGTACCCACTGAGGTTAAGACGTGCCACTTCCCTGCCTCCAGTCAGCACGTTGTCGTGCTTGTCATTAGTGTTTGATATGTCAGCCTTTCGTGTAAAAGACATCACCAGCGAGTCTAAGACGTTCCACTGCCCTGCCTCCAATCAGCATGTCGTCGTGCTTGTCGGTAGTGTTGGATACGTAGGCCTTTCGGGTCACAGACAGGACCAGCGAGTTTAGTTTAAGACGTGCCGCTTAATAATCCAAGCTGCGCCACTCTCCAAGGCATCCGCTGCAGTAGAAAGAACTCGCATGACCTGGGTCCGGGTGGAGGTTTACTGAGGTGTATAGTGGGGCGGTGGAGGGAAATGTGTCTTGAGAGTAGGAGCACACTCCGAAAGCGGGCGACATTTTGCACGTCATTACGGAAAGTCAGATGTGAAACCTCTGTCCAGGGACACATGCGTGAATGAACCTAGCCCACCCGATGACATGTTTATTTACGTTTGTTAGTGAATGTCTACACTTTGGGTTCCAAGGGCGCTTAAATCTAGAGATCCGGGTACCCCGTATGGAAAAAAACATTCCGAATGTAAATTGCTTCGTGCTTGAAAGTTCAAGCTCTTGACGGGCTTTGGGGGGAAGATCGCCCCGAACGGGATGGAGGCCGGGTCTTTAAGAAGCTGGGCGATTCACAAAGGGTTAGTCCTCATATTTGGCTTAATGTAGGGGGTGGAGTGAGTGATGGTGATGGAATGCGAAGGTGTACTTGTTGTAGCCGGTCTGGATGATGTTCACCTGACGCAGGCTCCAGTGCCCTACATCGGTGACCCTGGCTTGTCGTTGGCTAGCTTGTTAGGGGACCACCATGTGCACGTGTGCTAACATGTTCTGTGCCCGAAGGGGTTTTGGCTTCTGCAAAGTAGTGCTCGCTGTGATATTGCCAGGGGCATGTACTTTCTCATGCATGCCATGTATAGTGCAGTGATACATACTATGCATGTGTTTTGTGAGTGACGATACAAAGTAGCTGTGTTCTGTGCTGTCTTGAGCCATGACGACAAAGGAGGTGGAAAACGAAGGTGAAGTGTCCAAGGAGGCCAAAACGCTGGCCAAACGGTGGATCCATGAAATCGACGGAATGCGAGAGCGCGGCGCAGCCGGTCGCATCATCATAGCAGGCAATCATTTGGGCAGGCCTGACCTCGACCTCAATTGGCAGGTTGTTGCCTTGGCCATGCAGGTGTATGGCTCCAGGCCCAGTGTTTTTGTTTTGAAGGATGCAGTTGCAGAGTTCTTTGGATCCACACGTCCTCTTGGAAAGCCTGTTACAGGCCACTAGCCTGTCATACGTTGTTTCAAGAAGATGCCGCTGTCAATTGCTATGTGCATCCTGCAGTCGTGGATTTGTGTTGTTAGCCAGTGCTGCAGCAACCAAGGTAAATTTAGCAAAAACCAGGGCTGGAGGATCAGGAACCTGATTACGATGTTCGTGCGGATTGCGAAACTTCCACATCGTCCAACAGAACCTGGGATCAGGAAAATTTATGAAGCTTTGGACATCCCTATTCCAGAAGGTAGCTTGGTCCCACAATGTCGATCTGCACCATGTATGATCTTGCTGTGCATGGGAACAGAATACAGCTTGCAACATGTTCAGAGTGTCTTGTGGCCCCAGGTCGTTCTTCATCTTCGTTGCCGGATGTGGACAGTGAAGAGGAAGACAGTGCTGAGATTGAGGCTGGATGTAGGGTTTTTGAACCAGGCTTTACAGAGGTTATTGTGGGGTTGATGCCATCACATATTCAGGCAGAAGAGGGGGAGGAAGAGCAGGCCACAGAGGATGAATGCGAGGAAGCTACCATGCTGAATCGAGTGAAGTCGCTGGGAATTGTATAGCTGTCGATATCATTTGTATTCGATCTAAGGCTCCTGCTGCCCACCCAGAAGTGCTAGAGTGCCCAGCGGCCCCTAGCATGGAACACAAATGTGGTGGCTTCTACGCATGTGAGACCGAAATGTTTTGCAGTATTTTGCATGCAAACGATTCCCAAAACAGATGCAGCCTAGGAAGTGTGGCACTGGGTCAGCCTCTGCATGATCTGTCCACCCCAAGTCCTCGCCCGGTGCCGAGTGTGTCTCCCACAAGTGCAGTCAAGCAAACCCCACCAAGCAAAAAAGAGTTGCTTCAAGAGTTGCTCAAGCAACGGGACCGGCTCGAAGCATTGGTGAAGCACAAGCATCAACGAGCTGGGATTTCCGGGTGCCCCTTGCATGCAGCATGGTCGGTTTGTGATTGCATGATATTGCATGCTGTGCAGTACCACTGCTTCTGTTCGTCTGGATGCACAGCACCTGATGTAAGGTTCTGTGGAGTCCCAAGAGACTTTGCCGATGGACAATGGTCTTGCTGAGGTTGCAGCTGCAGCCATGACAGCAGAGATTAAGATGAAGGAGCTGCAGGCTTTGAAAGCTGCTCGTGATGAGGAGAAAGTGGCTTTGGCAAAGGGCCCGAGCCCCCTTCGGAAGTGCAAGCGCAAGGATATTGATACAAAGGGAACCAGTTCCTCGCAGGGCACAGCTGACAGTGCCCACAGTTTGAAGGTTGCCAGGTTTGAGGCCCAAAACAAGCAGCAGTACAATCCGCCAACCGTCGAGCGCAAACCATCACCGAAGCAGAATGACCCAAGCAATGCACTGGTTCAGCCACTCGACAAGCCAATCAAGAAAGAGCCGAGAACAGAGCCATTCAACATGCCAATCAAGAGAGAGCCGAGGGAGGAGCCAATCAGCAAGCCAATCAAGAAACAGCCAGTGGAGGAGCCAATCAATAAGCCGATCAAGAAAGAGCCATTGGAGGAGCCAATCAGCACACCAATCAAGAAAGAGCCGTTGGAGGAGCCAGTCAGCACACCGATCAAGAGAGAGCCACTGGAGGAGCCAGTCAACCAGCCGATCGAGAGAGAGCCAGCAGACAGAGTGACATCAGTGAGACCAGTCCATAGTGGGGATGTTGAGGCCAAGCCGTTGCAGAATGAGCCCGATTGTGGTCTGGACAAGCCTGCAAGTCCAGGTCGTCGATTAGTCGAGCATGAGGAGGCCTCAGCAGGCCACCCAGAGTCTGGTGGAGGACCTGAGCCGGAGAAGCCGGCTTTGCTGAGCCGGGCTAAAGTCATGTCTCCAGCAGAGCAGTCAGTTCAGGTGTTCGGGTGCAAGCCCAAGCGTGGCAAAGGAGCAGGAAAAAAGGCAAAGGAGGATGATAACGAGGAGCCACTTGGTGAGGTTTTGAAGGAAAAGCCCAAGAAGCGTGGCCCAGGACGTCCTAAAGGTAGTGGCACAAGCAAGAAGAGCACAGGTGAAGGAAGTCCAGAGCCAAAGGAAAAGGCCCCCAAACCCAAGGCCAAAGCTAAAGCCAAGGCCAAGGCTAAGGCAAAGGCCGTGGCAAAAGGGAAGGCGAAGCCCAAGGCAATGGCCACAAGTCCAGCGGGAAAGCGCAAAAGGAAGGATGAGGCTTCTGCTAGCCAGGACACTCAGTATTATGAGACGGAAAGTCCCAGACAAACCAAGACCAAGAAAGCCATGAAGATTGATGACAAGAAGAGCAAGGAGGAGGAGAAGAAAAAAATGAAATCCCGTAAGAGCTGTGCATACCACAAGACCAAAGCTATGAAAATCAAGGAAGGGCTTCCAGAGGAGGAGGCAATCCGTTTGGCCAAGATCGTTACCTACCAGCAGTTTTCGCATGTCCTTGTGCACGTTTGTGTGTGTGTGTGTGTGTGTGTGTGTGTGTGTGTGTGTTCTATGTGTGGGTGTGTGTTCATGTCCATCCTGTCTATTCTGCCCAGGCTTATGCTGAGCAAGACTAGCATCTCTGGATTTACAGAAGCTGATGGGGATACTGTGCACTTGACACACACGTTGTCAAGCTATTTGTGTGAACTTCCTTGGGAGCATCCACTTAGAAAGGGGTCATGTGGGTCACCCTGAGGCAAAGCCTATGCACTTTGATGCACCAAAAATCAGAGAGACTGTCGCCTGCTCGTGACAAAGATCCGGTAGTCGATTCGATGCATGCGTGCACTTTCAGAGCTATGCTGAATCCTTATAAACCCAAACACTCTAGTTTGCTAGCGCTAACTGCCAGGTGTCTTTTACATGGTCTTTGCCGTCGCTGGAAAGCAGTGCGACGTTTGAGGCCACTATCATCCCGAAGTGCTTTCACCTTGCAACCTGACTAACCTTTCCCAGCCAGGAGCTTCGACCGGGACATTGTCATCGTGGGCAAGCAAAATGATCACCGAGGCCACCAAATACGCTAGGAGCGATCTTGAAACTTCGAAGGCTTTATGGCTTGTAGGGGCTATCATGAGCATATAGACACAACTGACATACATTCATGCAAACACACATATACAGACAGACAGGCATATACAGACATACAGACTATATCTATATGTATGTACAGAAAGGCATGCTACATAATCATACTTATAAATGCACGCATGCATGATCATAGCATGTACACACAAAGCTACATGTAGGCGAGCATGTGTGTACATTATGTATCTATATATCTACGATATGTGCATACATCGACCTGTCTCAGACTTATCTAGCTCCTACCCAAAGCCCTGAACCCTTCTTAATGCCTTTCCCACACAGGTCTGCTTCCACTGCATGCTGAAGACGTGGAAGCCCATCTCTCCTCAGGCTGCTTTGCTGGCTTGTCCACGTTGAAGTGAGTTTCTGTAGCCAGGGCACGTGTAGATTGCCACAAATCCATGTCCCCTAGATCTTTAATATATAGGTCCAAAGCTATATGTGTGTATATACATATATACCTGAGCATAGCTACGGCTGTTGGCAGGTCCGTGATGGCGTGGGCACGACGTGCTGCTGCTCAAGGCTACCGCACTCTGACCCCTTGCTCCCTGCACAGTGTTTGCATGTGCTGTGGACTTTGTGCTGCAGTGGATCTCGGAAAGTGTTCTGCATGTTGTTCTGCATACTGTTGATGCTCATCAGTGCCATGTAGCAAGAGCTTTGGAGACTGAATGAGTGCAATGGAAGCATCTCTGGATTCTTCACTGTTTGTGCGATTGGTTAATGTCGGTGCTCCGAAGGCTCTGGGCATTGCAACTACGTAGTGGGGGGTTGTCGTGATGAGTGAATTAATGTGCCATAATAGCCCCTGGGGTTCTATCCTATGAGACGAGGTTCTGATCGCAATAGTGCTCCTGATTTCCTGGAGCACCCAAATGCCAACAAAGAAATCTTTCGATTTTCTGGATCTCTTCGCTGGACAAGCCAATGCTTCTGCATATTGGTACCTAGACCTGCACTTGAAAGAATTGTTAGGCTGTCCGGTGTCAGTATAGGTCTCTAGTACGTCTCCTTAACCTACATAAGAAAGCCCCTCCGAATCCCAGGCGGTCCAAAGGCCACAGTGTGGCTACAATCGACTTGGAGCAAGGGTCCTGCATGGACTTCAATTCTGATGCCGGCTTCGCGCAGCAACCTCAGCCCAACAGTGCAGGGTTGCCATCGTCATAAAGGAGTAACACTTCATATGTATGAGTGTAAGGCTGGTCTTGTGGGTCATCATGCAGCAGACTGTGAACTCGGTCAATCTTATTGGACCATCATGTGGGTCTTGGGGCCTGCCTAACCGTGGAACCAGCATGCGCAATTTCATCAATTGGCGAGGGAATGAACAATATGCCTATGTAGCTGGGGCCAACCGTATGGTCAGCAGGTGCTTTAGCTGCAGTGAATTGGCTTTATTGCTTGTGTATGTTGCTGTAGACAAGTTCTAGCAGCTAAGGGTTTGCCTCGCCATACTGGTCATTACCGCGAAACATGCCACATGGATACTCGAGCATCCTATATGCAGCTTGATCAACCGCCACGACCGCTGGGAGTGGCTTTGCAATTCTGTGCTTCGGGTCACCTGACTGCACAGCAACCAACCCGCCCCAAAACGAACTCTCCCTGTCCCTCTCCCTCTCCCCTCTTTCTCTCCCTCTCTCCCCCCTCTCTCTCTCTCTCTCTCTGTCTCTGTCTCTGTCTCTGTCTCTGTCTCTCTCTCTCTCTCTGTCTCTGTCTCTCTCTCTCTCTCTCTCTCTCTCTCTCTCTCTCTCTCTCTCTCTTTCTCTCTCTCTCTCGCTCCCTATCTCTCTTTGTGTCTCTTTCTCGATCTAGCTCTCTCTCTTTTTCTCTCTGTCTCTGTCCCTCTCTCTCTCTCTCTCTCTCTCTCTCTCTGTCCCTCTCTCTGTCTTTATCCCTTTCACTCCCCAGCAGGAGCACATGACACGCATGTGCACATAAGCCTAGGCCTAAGTGTCTGTGTGTATTCAGGTAGACTGGTAGGCATGTGTAGAAAAGGTCGGTTTGTATGTCGGTGGGTGGGTAAATACTTATTTCTATATACAATATATTATATAGGTAGGTAGGTAGAATTTGAAATGTAGGTGGGTATTGAGGTTTCTGTATGTATCCTGAGGTGTTTCGGCAAAACTTTTGGGTGATGCATTGGGGTGGCAAAACCCCGAAGCGGACGATGATGTTCTCGAACTCCCCAGCGGTGAGAGAGCTGGATCGAGGGATATTGTCCAAAGCACAGCGTGAACGCTTGTCCAAGACCAAGACTGTACGACAGCTGGATGCATGAAAGGATGTGTTGTCTATATGGTACTAGAACTACTTATATGTATCATATATCAGTTTATGGGCTTGATGGCATCAATGTAAGGACGCTATACCAAAGAAGGCTGCTCCTATTTCGTGGGAACAAAAGACCTCCAACCTTCTGGGCTTCCTGGCATCTATATATATATATATATATATATATATATATATATATATATATAGGTAGGTTCTATATAGTGACTCCATTATATACTATATATAGTATATAATGGAGTCACTATATAGAACCTACCTTATCCCGATATAAGCTTAAGCCCACAGCCCTTGAGGATTTATCCCCGCAAGCTGGTCAAGAAGCTCTACAGCTGCTTCGTGGAGCAACGGTCTGCAGCATCCAAGGTGTGCTTGAGGTCGAAGAACCAAGTGGACCCGCTCCTCACAGATAGACAGGTGTTTGAATCCATGCCGTTAGGAGATGTGTGGGAAGATGCTTCGGTTGCTTCAACTTACTTTTATCTCCGGAAGGGAAAGTATTTGATCATACCGGATAGCTGGCAAGCTGCGATCGATGAGTTCGACCGGGCCCTTCATGAACGAGTGGCTTCCCTAGCATATAATCTAAGCAAGATTGTGGCTACAGTACAATTACAATTGTATCCGCTTCATCACAGCCAAGGTGAACTGCTTCCCTGAACTGAGAGCTGAGTATGTGTCTCTATGTGGCTAGAGAACATGTAGACCTAGGCAGGGTCGTTGCAAGTTGCGAGGTAGTCTGCTGAAGTAGTCTGGTGGGATTTTAGGGAGCTGTGGGCCAAAGCATGTATGGGTGGCCAAGGGTGGATGCCCATGATGCTAGGAATGGAGGGGGATGCCCATGATGCTAGGAATGGAGGGGGATGCCCATGATGTTAGGAATGGAGGGGGATGCCTATGATGCTGGGAATGGACCTGTTGCCAAAGTGGTGCACTGCTCACCTTATTATGCATGGGATGTTGAGGGTGAGTCGATGGCATCATGAGCTTCAGGGTGCAATGGGGACACATGTTCATTTCGGGAACGCTCCCGAATGTTTTCGTACATCGCGCATGTTTTTTGAAATTAGTGGGCAGGGGTGGGCCCGGAATGGCCGCAACACGCGCGCAATTTCCCGCAACACGCGCGCAATTTCCCGCAACACGCGCGCAATTTAGAAATCCATTCGTTTTGCCTTTTTCCACGTATGTTTTTTAATCCTCACGTACGAAAACTGCCTCGCAACACCTGTGACCCCTGAGTTTGCCAGGCCTTCGACAGTGAAGGCTTGTCAGGAAAGAGCTTGTTTCTTTTCGAACTGGCAAAATGTGGGTTCTGCCTGTTGCTGCACCAGGCACCAGATTTGCAACACCTATGCACCATTTGTCTGATCTGACAACCTAAATCTCGCGAGACTCAAGAGGGTCGGCTGGGTGTGATGGTCAGTTTAGAAAGCTTGAACGAGGGTATTGCCATGGTGGCCAGATCCTGGACTGACATGTCAGGCTTGCAAGAATCCGAGCTTGATGCTGAAATCCTTGTGCTCTAGCGTGCATAAGCAACACGTAGCATTGGAAAATCATACATCGTTTAACTCGCTTCTGCTTCAGCTTGTTTCTTCCGCCTATCCCAGGCTGCACAGAAGCAGGTTGCAGATCTTCAAGATGCTTTGAGCAAAGTTGATGCGGAGCCTGTTCCAGTTCCGGCGATGGTACCAGGTGGGCTGTTTGGCATAGAGGGGATTACCCTAGCTAGAAGCAACATCGTACAATCCTAGAGAGCATGTCTTCCCTAGCAAACAAGAACAGGTGCACTTGTCAGTGTAACCCACACTTGCCACTTAGTGCTACCCTAGGCTACCAATGGCGTAGTGGTGTTTGCCCGAGTTTGGTGATCGCTAAAGCTGAACCCTCCAAACCCCTATAAGATCACAAATTCCGGACATATATGCACTCCGAAGAGGACATGTGTACGCATGTGTGTATGCATGTGCATAGTCGTCTGTACATATGCACTATGTAATAACAATATGTGTCTGTCATAACAATATACATGCATATGTATATGTATATATATATAATATAGGGTCGTCCTCCAGCTTGGTGCTGAACGGAACACCATGTAAGCAAACATCTCAACCCTACCAAACCCTAGGCTAGCAAACTCGTTGCCCCTTACAAAGCCTCAACTATATGATACTCTAATAAGAAACTCCTGGATGAAATGAAGCCACCCAATGATTCTACGAGGCAAACCATTATAAGATATGTTCCATATGTGGCTATATGATGCAGAACCAAATCGTGAGCCCACAGGTCTTCAAGATCCTCAATATGTAGTAAGCCCCTATAAACCCTAAGTTATATAGATAAGTATTTATACACCCACGCAAAAAATATCCTGGCCCTACATATAAGCTCTAGAAGAGACTGATCTCGTGAAGCCTCCAAACGAATCAGAACCACGTAGAAGTGCTCTATAGAGCCCAAGCCCTGGATGCGAGGTGCCCCGTCCATAGTGCTCCCTAGCAAACCTCTCTCAAGCACCGACCGAAACCCAAAGGGATTCTCAATGCCCATCCCCTGGGAAGCCATCGCCCACGGAAACTGTGAGAATGATTGCTCAGTCTTCAAAGCTAGCTGAAGCTTTGGAGTGTGCTGCGACCCCAAGCATGTTCCAGACAATCGATCTTGCAACCCCCAGCCCAGCAGCTCAGAAGAAGGCGCCAAAAGCGAAACCAGCTGCTAAAGCAAGCCCTGCAAGCCACTCCCTCGACCTGGTGAGCCCTGCAGACAGCAAGACTACCTCGCCTACAGCCAGCAAGGTGAAAACCCCGAGCCCACCAGTCGCGAGGCAGTTGTTGTTTCCTCCCGCCAGAAAGACAACTCCATCGCAAGCCTCCCAAGCCCCTAAACCAGAAGGTTATTGGAAGCTGCTTGCCGAAATCATGCTTTATGATACTGTTCCAATCGATACTGCCTAGAATACTTAGACTAGCTAAGGGTGTGGCGATATTGCAAGCCGAACTCCAAGGGTGAGGTCAAGGCTACACCAGAGATCCTTGAAATGGGGAAAACTTCAGATGGCCGAATCTCCTTCGCACCTATATATTTTCTGTTTGAACCTATCCTACTCATCGCCCCCGAACAAGCCACAGAAAGTCTGTATCAGGCTAAGAAACCTAGACAATACCTTGCATGCTGTATACCCTATATATATCCCCATGCAATAAACCCCCATGCAATATTGCAAGTCGTAGCTTGCAATGTAAACCACGTAAAGTGCTTCCTCCAGTTCCAAAAAGCCGCACACCCCTAAACACCCAAAAAGCCCCTAACGCCTACAACCCAGGAGAGAAGCTACGTCAGCTGTTGTTGCAGCATGGCAGCTTTGAGCAAGTCGAATGCCATCTCCAGCGATGGCATGAGCAGAAGAAGAAGAAAACGGCCCTTGGTGGACCGGTCACCAAAGAATGGCTAATGGAGACGGAGAAATGGTCAAAGTGTCTTTTACTGAATCAGATCTTCCGAGATGTTTAGACAAAGCTTCCGGTTCCTATGTGCATGAAATCTACTGAGGACCATGTGTGATAATGCGTGGGATTGGGCACGCGCCCGGGGCCTTGTCATCAAGAACCCTATTCATGGGGCCGAGGAAGCTGATATCCCTTACAAAAGCTTTTGGAAGAACACGGACGAAAGCGGTAACCGTGTTTCATTCGAGAGTCGGGTCGCCTTGGAAGTGTCTCTTTTGCAAGCCATGGATTGTTTCAAGCGTCTCTCTGTGTTCTGGCCATGTCTGTGTGTGTGTGATCAAATGCAATATATTGATTCAACTGAGGATCCGAACGGGGCTCTTCTCGACTCTACGAATCAGGATCTTGGTGTGACTGGGCAGGCCGCATCAAGCAGTGCAGGCATTACAGATGCTGAAGCTGCAGCCCAAGGGGGTGCATCGTTCAAGCTGCTTGCTATACATTTATATGCCCACTCAGCTTGGTGATTTGTGACTTAGCTAGAAATTGAGATTCGATCGTGACCGAATGATATGGATGCAAGGATCTGCTTCCCGAGCCTTCAGCAAAACACGTCGCCTTTGACGCTGCTCCCCCAATATCTTGCTGTTTTGGGGAAAAAGATCGACTCGGCAGAGACTGTGAAGGATGCTGCTTAAGCTGCTCACTGCATTCTAGCACATGCCTTCGGATGAGGTGTGTCGATGTGCTTACCTATACCCTGACAGGAGAGGCTCGACTCTGCCATGAGCAACGGTGGGAAAGGGGGCAAGCCAAATGAGAAGGTCAAGCTGCTGCTTGTCTATGTTGCCAGCTAGATGATATTACACACTGCTATATGTCGAATGCAAGCCATCTCAGGCTAGCTGAGAATGTGTCCCAGTCCCTGACCGATTTGAACCAGCACTACCAGGACCTGACAAACCTTCAGGCGAATGTCGCCACTGAAAGTAAGGCGGACGAGGTTCAGAGGCCAGCTGCTGATCATCATTGCATGTCCTGTGGCTTGTGCATTGTGTATCGTTGCTGCAGCTTATCGGGTCCCTGGGAGGCTTAAGAAGCAGGCTCTGCAAATCTTTATCAAGTGCACCAAGACAGATCTTTCCTTGAACAACTGGGTTACTCGAGCCAAGTGTCTTACTTGCAAGCATTTAGCTATATGTGGTTCTAGTGGTTGTGCTGTCATTCCACAGCTTTACCGAAACCAGCATCAGGAGCATCAAGGCAGGAGCCACTGCGAAGCCCAGTGCCAAAGCATCTACGAAGCGGACAGCGCCAAAGGCGAAGTCTGGAACCCCGGCCAAGCCGGCAAGCAAGAGGAGAAGGGAGAAGGGCGCCGCGTAGACCTGTAACCCTCACGAAAGGTGAGATGTTTTGAGGCTGCCGTTGTATGATCCAATGAGTCAGCTCTGCATTGCAATTCGTGCGATGCTGGTGAAGTGCCCCAGCTTTCGAGGGGATGTGTGTGAGCCGTGCACAAAGTGATGAGTCTGTGAGTCTGTGGCTCCTGCATGCAATGGTCGACAAGCTTTTTGTAGGTCGCTTTTGTGCTCATGCCACTCCCTCTCGCAGGCCTTGATGTTGAATGTGCAGACATCCAGATAGGCCTAGGCCTTACTTATTCTTATTCTACAGCTCACTTCATGAAGCCTTCACTACAACAAGTTCGGATTTGGTAAACATCAACTCAAGTGCTGTGCAAGGTCCTGGCACCAGCGATGGTGAGTCGTCCGAAGATGACTTGCTTGATGAGCTCCTCATGGGCTTGGCGTCTGGTGTCCCGAGTCATGCACTAAGTTAGGGTGGGGACAGCTTGTTGAATCCAACTTTGAATGTACTGAGGTCATAGTCTGGTGGTCTAGAGTCTAGGAGTCTGTATCTATGCCATGTATATGTACCCGAGGCTGACTCGGCGACCCGAATCTGTCGCCTTGCAAAGCTTTTCGATAGGAAACTGGCGAAGCGAGGCATGTCCCTTTCCCCATTAATGTGCATACTTGCAAACTCTCCCAAAATGTGGCAATCACTGAGCCCTGCAAGGAATGCGGGATCCGATGCTGAAAAAGCTTGCAAAATGTGCCCGAGCCAAAGATGAAGCCAATGTGTGCCGCAACCTACACCGGCTGTTAACACACAAAGAGTTTACACTTCAAGTTCATATCAGCTGGTGCGACATTGACATCAAGCACGCCACGAAGCGCAGGGAACTAAACAAGGTTCCATGGCCAGTCATTCGGCTGTCAAGCTGGGTGCGGTATATCTTGGAAATACAGGGAGGTCAACTTTTGTTGGCGGGCCACTCGACCATTCAGCCCGACTTATGGGAGCCTGTTCTGGAACGATTCTGGAACCTCTATGAAGGGGTAGACCCTGGTCACATTGTATACCAGCTGGGCTTAAACCGCCGACGAACCCTGCCTTTCATGGTTCACGGTGATGAAGGCCGTGGCAGGATGAAGCAACCTCTGTTGGTAGTGGCTTTTCAGGGTGTTTTGTCCCATCTCGGTATGGACCGACTCAACCAAAGTGGGTGGCTTTGTTTAATTTAAAATCTATACTGCAGATCAGGGATAGATGGTACTTGCAAGATCGACTAGGCCCGTGGCAGGATTGCATGTGTGCGTGACCAAGGCACTCATTCTGCTCCAGGTTACTTTATACCGTGATCCCTGGCCGATGCTACCGTGGAGACACTACGATCTTCCAGCTGCTGGAGGACCTATCCCAGGACTGTATGTCTCTTCTACATGATGGGATCGAGGTGGCTTGCTTGCAAGATTTTTTCTTTCTTGCTCTCAATCAATCGTTATAGTGTTCGGGAACAGCTTGAGGTTGTGAGTGGAACCCAGACCATGAAGTTCCACCTGGCCTGGCTCGGTTGTAAGGGGGACTGGGTGTGGCTACGAAAGGCATTTTGCCTTCAGACTGGCTTTACTTCTACAAGAATTTGCCACCTGTGTGAGCAAGAGGCTGGTACTACAGTTTGCCAACTTTTATATACAAATTCTCTTATTAATGGTTCATCAGTTATCTAGTAAGTATATATATTTACATATATATATATATATATGTGTATATGGGTGGGGTAGCCCTAGCTAAAGCCCTACTTTATAGATGCTGTTTGTGAGCTCTGTGCAATTCCATAACCTTTGTTAATGTAGAGCACCCTCCAATATGAACCTGTCGATTACACACCCCCGCGCTCCTGAAGGATTGGTACAACACAACCCCAAACTCGGCCATAAGAACCTGGACCCGTGACCTTCCTGCTGCACCACCTTGGAAAGCTTCCCGGAGCCCATTGCGAGACATTCCTGGTGGGGATGATCCCTGGTACTGCCGAACGGACCCAGCACACACTTTCGCTATTCAAGGGGTTGGGTCAGGAATGGCATCTTCGAGCATTATCTTGCTGACCCGCATGAAAGTCCTACCAGGAACGATCCCAGAAATCTTAGACAAGCTCTACCGAAGTTTCGTTCGGTGGCTACAAGCCAATGGCAAGACGAGCAGCATTGAGACCTTCACTCTGCTGAAGTTCAAGATGAAGTCGTTGTCCGCCTCATGTTTCTGCAGCTTTGTATTGGTTTATATGGGGTTAGCATATATGTGCATATTCATATCGGCCTCATTGGTTTCCTCAGGCTACGAAGCTGGCCATCCGGAACTGGCAAAGGATTCGACACCATTCTACTTTGCTGTTGGCTGGAGGACTTCCTCTCTGTTGATAATGGAGCTGAAAGAGTGGAACCATAATTGCACATCAAATTCTTGATACATGTGCAGTTTTGCTTTGTCTTATTCCGAAACCGAAGCATATCTAGAGAATTAATATAAGGAAGCTGGCGATCGAGATTTGTACCAGCTTCTGCAATGGACGATGTCGAACACAAACGCTTTCTTTCGTGGGTTGCACCAGTACGGTGTCTGGATGCCTTGGAATGTTGCTAAGCGCCTGGTTGCCCATGGGTGGCACATGACAGTGCCTTACTTGGGTCTTGGAAAGCTGTCTGTGTGTTATTAAACTAATATTTCCTGATTTGAAACAGCTTGTCCTGCACAAACGCTTGGCTGAGGAGGGTCTGGGGGCCCTCGCCTCTGAGTCAGCTGCCCGGAAGTGGCCTCTCTACAAGTTCAAACCGAAGGTGCACATGCAGATGCACCTTACGATGCTTGTCCAGTTGTCAGTATACCATGCATGGTCTAGGAAGATGATTTCAATCCTGCTGCCAAATCCAACTTAGGAGGGACATCGAAGTCCAGGTGGAGATGAATCTGCCTTTCATCTTCAATCCCATGTGCCCTTTGTCTGCATGTCTAATATCGCATAGGCCGTCCTGAAACGGTTTCCACTGAAAACATTCTAGAATCCTAGAAGACTACAAATTCCTTCGATCCTATCCCAAGGTATGTGCTGCTGGATGGACGAAGATTTTATTGGAAGATGCTCTCGGATTTCCAGAAGACAATCGAATGCTACTGTAGCAATACGCACTATGCGTGTTTGTCTACTTTTGTACCAGAAACAATGGGCACGCGAGTTCGGTTGAGGCGCCAAAAAAGCTCGGTCCCGGGCGGAACATCCATCGTTGCATTGTCGAAGCCAAATCGACCGTGGCAGATGAGAGAGGGATGATGGTGGGGTTTATTCTGATTCCTTTAAATTGCTTCAGAAGTCATCTTCACATAGGGCTTCTTGAACGAGAAGACTATGCACGCATGTTTATTTTCACCACGTGTGGAAATCCCAGAAACCCATCATCACGTATGGAAATTCTGAAGCGCGGAAATAAACATATGAAAGGATGGTCTAGGAAATGTCAAAAACAATGTCCCTGAATTCATCGGACACATCCGTGACCGTGTCCGGCTATTATAATCTTTCTCAGATCTGTACATTGACCTGACATTCCTTCGACCGCGGATTGTTCGCTGTACATATATTATATCCGTGGTCAATTCTTGTGGTGGCGGCAAGCTGATCACTTTCGTTCTTGATAAATGAAATCAACGTCCACCAGCCAACCTCAGGGCCCAGCCCTCGACTTCGGATCGAAACTGGCTTAGTCTTTCTAACTGTGCCTGACAAACACGTTGATCGATGTCGTTGTCTTGCTGATACTCGTCCAAAACCAAGTACGCTGCACCCAAGCCTGCCTCCACGAGGTCCCCTTTGCTTCCGTCATTGAGGCCTTTTACGTAGTCGGACAGGTTTCCGTACATGTTGTCAAGTACCCTGGAATACCAGTAGTTGCCCACGTCTGCATAGCGAGTTCCATCCGCGCCGATGAATGCGTCTGATCCGTGGCTTATGTTGCAAAACTTCTTTCGGACTGCTCCCATGCTTGCCAGGACCTTCCTTTCCTTCTTGTTATACTTCTCCATCCACACATCTAGAAAGCTTCCGTCCCCTGCCACACCGATATTACGTGCCCACCATTCGGCAGCCTCCAGCTGGGTCTTTCTCTCCTTGTCCCGCTTCAGTTCGATCGGACGCTGCAGTGGTAGCACTGGTGGGCCATGTCCATGACTTCCTGGTCCGTTTCTTGTGTGGGTGGTGTCCTCCGGCTGGTCGTTGTCCTCGTGCTGGTTCTGCTCGTGCCCCGACAAGCGCTTCGCCAGCTCCACCTGGCCTTGCCCAAGACACTGAATGTCCTCCCAAATAATGAGTTTGTCGTAATGGAGCTCCTTCAAATCGATTTCATGGTTCTTCTTCGCGTTCTCTGTATCCAGCTGCAGCTTTCCAAGGACGTCCGTGATCTCCTTTAAGCGCTCATTTGTCTGCTGCATCCACTTCTCCATGCCCTGCAGTCGTTCTCTCAGAGCTGCTGCTTCAATTCGTTGTTGAAACAATTCCTCCTCCTCCTCCTCCCTTGCCTCCGCCTCGGCCTTGGCCTTTCTCTTCCTTTGCTTTTTGGCGGCGATCTCGTCGAGGTCGTCCTGGTGCTTCCTGTACATGCTCATGCCCACGTACATCAGAACCACCAAAATTAGGAATTCCACGAAGGTCACCATCACTAGGGGCGGGAGCTGCGTGGTCAAAGCTGCTACACTTGCTTGACTTGTCACAATCTTGCGTTACACAGACACAGGTTCGGATTCTGATCACGCAGACCACCACAATCTCTGATTATGCTCCGAGGCCATGACCTTCCGCTTTGAGGATCATCTTCGACTAAATGTCCTGCCAGACATGCTTGGCACGTTTGCCCACCTGCCTAACTACAGCAGGCTGAGTTCCCGACACCCCTGTTCGGTGTCCAAGCTCCCCCCTGTTCGAGGTTCGGATTCCTGTGCGGGCGTAGCAGGACTGCCTGAATCTTTGCCTCCTGACTTCCTAGTTGCCTTGCTGTCAACGAGTCTTAGGAAGGGCCACTTCCTGGCCTGCGGTCAGCATGTCGTGCTGGAGCTTGTGTTTGCTGGGAATATACGTAGGTGCCACCTCATTGATCGTGTTTGAGACATGAAGAGTTTGCGCGAAGTTCGCTGTTTCAGAAGTTGCTCTAACCAGCACTCTTTTTGACCTTGCCATTCTGTTTCCTGGCTCAGTTCTTGTGTCGCGCATTTTCCTTTGTTTGGCATGATGTTTTTAAGAAGCACGAAGTTTACGAAGTGCCACTTCCCATCCTCCAGTCAGCATGTTGTCGTGCTCGTCGGTCGTGCTGGCCGGTCGCTAGGAATACGTCGGCATTTCGTGTCAGAAACAGTACCACCGAGTTTAAAGCGTTCCACTGCCCTGCCTCCAGTCAGCATGTTGTCGTGCTTGTCCGTCGCGAGGAATACGTAGGCCTTTCGTGTTAGAGACATGTGACCGGCGAGTTTAGGTTAAGAAGTGCAGCTACCCAGAGCATGTCAAACTTCACATGACCGACATTTTGCACGAAACGGACAGACAGTCTGATCTTGAAGCTGACGTGCAGTCAGTACATAACAAGTGAAACCTCTGTCCAGGGACACATCCGTGGAAATAATCTGTGCCTTCAGAGCTGGGGTCTGTGTGAAAGCACTCTGAAACCGGACAAGTGGAACCTCTGTCCAGGGACACATCTGTGACATTGTCCATCCCACGCCTACTAAAGTATAAATTTATTATTATGACCCTCCATGTCCTTATAAAGACTGTCCCTGAATCCGTTGTCGCTCATCCGTGACAGTTTCCTCTACTTCTTTAGGTGAACTTCTCAGATCTATGTAACGGCAGTAATACATACCAGTCACTGCGGCAACACCACTCACCGGAGGCCTGTCACGGCTGGTCTGTAGATCAGGCAGCCGCCCAGGTCTAATGCTTCGTTGCTTCCTAAATCCATCACCGCGCGACCTCGAATCAGACCGTTGGTCCGCAGCAGCGATAATTTCTGAGCAAACGGCCCACGAGCAGAATAAAGTCTTCCCAATGATAGCCCGGGTACGGTTGCTGGGCCAGGAATCATATCCTTCCAGTCGCAGGTCCTGTCGTGATCACAATAACCATACTGACAAGCATGCCTATGTCGACACGAAAGTATTTGCATGCCGACACAAAGCAATTCAAGCGATCCTCAATGTC